CCGCCCCGCCCCCAACTGTTATCGTCCACCGTCCCTGATCCTGACTACTTGAGGACGTCCTGCCGTGGCCTTCCCCTCCCCTTTCCTCGGCGGCCCGCGGCTCCTCGCATGTGCAGAGTGCAGCGCCGCCGCGCCATGTACGTACTTATACTCGGCTTACCTGTTGATGGAGTTGAGCGAGCGCGTGCAGCGGTTCGCCACCGTGATCTCCACGTACACCTTGGACGGCCCGTCCGCCAGCTTGGCCAGCATCACGCCCTTCCAGTGGTAGGTGAGCACGGCCGTGATGTTATCTGCGGGCACAGGGAGAGGCGGTCAGTCACACCGGCGAGGCGAGGCGCTGGCTGCGCTGCACTGCGCTCCTGCGCAGCAGGAAAAGGTGAGTAACGACCTGAGCCGCGGCAGCCGCGGTGGGTCTATGGGTGGCCTAGCCCTGGCCAGCCAGCCTATAAACCTCATTCGCAGGGTGCGGGCGCGTCAGGGAGCGGTTGCAGCAGCACCGGGTCCTACGTGACGGGGGCCCGGGAGGCTCCAGGGCTATAGCCGGGTCAGAGACTGCCTCGAGCAGAGCACGGGGCCCCCGTGGGGTCAACGGACTTGTATTGGACCGGTCCGATCTGTTGTTCGCTGGGTCGGACAGCCCGGCCCGGCCGGGGCGCGGGAACTGAGCTGACATTGGAGCCTGCGGCCTAAATCTTGGCCTCAAAACCACTCCGCCAGGCACGGCGGAGCGGCGACTCCCACCGACACCATTATGCGGAATCAATGATCATGACGTATGCGAGGAACAATTACGAAAACCTTCGTTAAACAGACAGTCCCCTCGATCAGTCCACAAAAGTGCTCCCTCCCTCCCTCCCTCCTCAAAGTTTTTATGTGCAGTCCACGTACGTAGCTATACTACAGTCCACGCCGAGCCGCCGAAGTCTGGAGCCGCCCAGCTGTCCTGTCCAACGCTGGCCCAGCCAGGTGAGGGGGGGGACAGAGCGATGGAGTGACTGCTGGGACCAGCAATAGATTCACCGCTCGCCGCATCGCTACATACTACAGAGCCGGATGGCGCTGTACCTAAAGAGCCTCAGAGTGAAAGAGTCGCACGGGTCACGTGACTGGTTCAACTGGGGAGTTGAGGTGACCGCAATATTTTTCATACCGTGTAGTCGTCAACTGTTTAGGCGCGCATTTAAACTATGACTATTTTACAATTAAGATCTTAGAATGAAAGACAAATATTGACTAAGAATAATTATCAAAGAAAGTCTATATTAATACTCAGGAGTACTTTTTAACACTCTGCCAGCCTCATTACTAATGTAATACCGGATGAAAATGGATAATATTGTGACCTAACCTGCACGCTCCAGTGCCGAGCCGGAGCAGCCATGCTGGAAGCGATTTTTAATCCACAAATATTTATGGATTAACT